TATCCTTGACCCATATATTTAAATGTGACATGAGGTGGAAAATTGCTAATTCAGAAACATTTTCTTACGCCTCATAATCGTTTCATGCAAGGAACGCCTCGGAAGTTCTCAAGCCGACCATGCCTCTTGTACCATCTTTAGAAGGATTTCAACGCTAAGCGGGCTATCCTTTTGGAGTTCTCCATCTTTACCACCTATGAGCACGAATAGTTGCGCCTATGCTGGTAATGATTTGGCGCAGGATATCCTTGCGCGAGATAACAACTACAAGAGGTTCCTAAAAAAGAATAAAAAAGTGTATACAAATGAGCCACATACACGAATGGGTTATGAGATCATGAAAATAATTACCACCTACCTGCATCTACGCTTAGCCATTTACACGCGAGGTAATCACTAACAAGAACATGTGCTATGCATGAAATAATAGCTACCAATGTGGGCATATGAAACGGTGTCGGTTGTGCCTAAGAACGTTAAAGTGTACCTGGGTTACGGATCCAGAATCACTAGAGCCCTGTGTCATTGGCTTCCTGTTCGTGCTCTTCCCCTTGTCCATGTTACCGCTACTTAATCTGCAATTTGTCAACATTTGTGACAATGAATTAGTATGATGGGCATATTTTCTTAAGGAAAGGTGTACGCAATTACTCGCATATATATTCGACTCGCACGCTTATTAATCTTTCTAGAAATAGATACAACTCCAAGCGGCAAATTGAATCCCTCTGGAAACAGTTCCAACTCGACACGGCAATCTGTTCGTTCATCACGGTACAGTATAACACTAGAAAGTAAGCAGCTATGAATATGATATTATTTAGCATTTGATTAGCAGCCAAGCGAGACAAGGAGCTGGGAGCAAAGCAGCATCACGCAATTTGGATGGCGGTGTCGCGTCTATTGGGATGGAGTTCGCAGCAGGAATAACAGGGAACCCACACTGATGGATCGAGGGCAGGAGGCGATAGATAGTCGTTGAGGATAGATCCCCTCTCCGGAGGGGGGGGGGTATATGAACGCATACCAGGAAGGGCGGCGACGGGGGAAATGGGAGGATGCTGGCGCTGTAGAGGTGGACCTGGAGCAGCACGGCGCTAGCACACACCCGGCGCGCCTCCTCCTCCAACCATATCGTGGACTCGTTTGGCGAGGCGGCTGGCAGTCGGCGCTGTGGAGGTGGACCTAGAGCGGCACGCCGCAGGTCCAGACCCGGCGCGCCGCCTCCTACTACCATGACTCGGCCCTGTCGCGAGATAGGCGGCCATTGCGGCTGTCGGCGGGCAGATCTCGCCGGCGACGCCGCTACTGCGACCGATCCCCTCGCCTACACCGAGAGGATAGAAGCCCGGAGCCAGGCTGGCGAGAGACGGGAAGGAGGATTCGAGCTGGGGTTCGAGTTCGAGCTGGGAATTCTGGTCAGTGCGAGTACTGGGCTCCTGGCCCATCAGCAATTGCCTAATGGAAGCCCAGGGATGCGGGGGGGGGGCTTTTCGTTCCGAACAGAGGGACAGGCAAAACGTACGCCAACCATGGATTCTTCTCAAAAACAGATATCTAATCACTTTCTCCCAAACGCTTATGCTTCAAAAATGTTAATCAGGGTTCGTATAACACTAATCGAATGGCTAACAAGATCCAGGTCTAAAATTGACTCTTAATAAGGAACATTAGCTGCTTGTGAAGCAAATATAACGTCCGAGAAGTTTAAAAAAAGTAATAACATCGAGTAGCACTCAAATATGATCCAACGATACAGATTTAGTGCAGCAAGAAATTATTTTTAAATTATAAAACCACAGGATGGTAGACACAACACGAAAAATAACACGAGGCTAGGTAAGGGCACCTGGTGCTGCAGCCGCTCCCTTGCCACGCCGCCTCTTTCCAGCCCGGCTAGAAGAAGGCACCCTTTCCATTGACCATGTCTATACCTGTACATACAATACCATACAACAGGTATAAAAAATAAATATTTTAATTCGTCATTTTCTCATGGCTTCTATTCATACTTTCATAGGCTATTTTTAAAGGAAAAATCCCTCCCTTCACATTTACTCTCCACAGTACACGTGGAAGTTCAAAAAAATGATTTTAAAAATGTACTCGAAAGAAAAACGAGATGTTCTAGTAGAATTCCAATCATAGCATTGCACATCAAATAATCACTTGTGCACCATGATGTGTTAGTTACCACACGCTAGGCAACAAGGACCTTCACAACCAGATAATTGTAGTCTCTCAATACGCAACGAATAGCCTAGTGCTGGTGTATGTGCAATGGCGGTGTGGCTAGCCGAGGTGGTGATAAACGATGGCCTTGGAGTCCTTTATAAATAGTGAGGGACATGCACAATAAACAGGGCAACCCTGAACAACAGAGTAAGTACTAAGTACTCCCTCCGTACCATTAAAAGTATTGTTTTGGACTCCGTGCCATCTTGTTTGATTGTTCGTCTTATTCAAAACTTTTGTATAAATATTATTTATTTTGTTACGATTTATTTTATCATTGGAAATACTTTAATAATGATCTATTTATTTTATACTTTATAAAAAAAGGTTGAATAAAATGAATAGTGAAATATGGTATCCAAAAATAAAAGACGTGACTTTTAATGGGACCAAGGGAGTAATGCACAGATGGTAGCACAGGGACAAGACAAAGAGCTTTAATTACGAGGCTTCACCACATCAAGATACATAAAAAGGCAAGAAAACGAAAAAGTGAATAAATCATGGCTCAATAAGTATACAATTCTGTAGGTGCTGGCACATCAATTCAAGTAGGATCTAAGACAGAGGCACCCTACCTTGGAGTGAATAAGGAGACGGAGCTCAAAGCAGACAACTACACGTGCTAAACAAGGAAGACGTCTGTCTATCCAGTCTCCTCTCATTAACTATTTATAGTAATAACTATGGATCAACAGGGACACAGTTCTGCTGCGTGCTGGCACATCAAGTGAGGGCCAAGACTGAGCCCTTGTTTAGTTGGACCCCAAATTCCAAAAAAGTGCTATAGTACCTGTCACATCGAATGTTTGCGGCCCGTGCATGGAGCATTAAATGTAGATGAAAAAAAACTAATTGCACAGTTTAGTGGAAAATTACGAGATGAACATTTTGAGCTTAATTAGTCCATGTTTAAACACTAATTGTCAAATAAAAACAAAGGTGCTACAATAATCCCAAATTCCAACTTCCTTGAACTAAACAAGGGATGAGGCAGGCACTTGCCATGGCTCACATCGGTGCATGCATCAATCGTTAGACTAACCAGGCTCTAGCATGTAGGCTTCAGAAAGAGGGAGCTCAGAGCAAACAACAAGCTCACACGTGCACTATATATATATACAGTCTCATCTCATTAACTACATGTAGACGCTGGAGTGGAGTAAATGAATGAATAGAGTGGTGCTGCATTAAGACCACGTGGATGAGTAAGGCCTTGTTTGTTACCCTCAAAATTCCAAGTTTTTGCACCACGTGCATTAAATGAGGTAAAAAAATAACTAAATTGTAAGTTGAAAATCACGAGATGAATCTTTTGAGAGTGATTTGGACAATAGCAAATAAAAGACGAAAGTGCTACTTTTATCAGGTTGAAATTTCTTTCAATCTAAACCAGGCCTAAGCAACTTGCAGCTTGCATGAGTGGCTAGCGCCTGCACTAAATTAGCATGTTACGTATGTCAGCTCCAGGTCTCTGAGTGTAGGCGGTGTAATAATGGATGATGAATGAGATAGGAAGGGTCGGAAAGTTATGAGGATGGAACCACGATAGTCCGAATTTCATCCAACGGCTATGGAAATAAAGTCTACGTGGACACATTGGGAGGCCGCCTAGACAGCGTGGCCTCATACTTCTAATTCGCCCCCTTGATCGAGAGCTTAAGTGATCTTCATAGTATTAGTCCCACTTTCAATAGAGTAGCATACCAAGATGAAAAATCATAATGGACCACGCATACTATTGGATCTAACATAGTAACACACTCTACGACAGGTAGGACGATAACTTACGCTAACTAGACTTTTTCCTTCGAAGAAAAAGAAAATAAGACCAAGAAAAGGGAGTGATGTCGAATAATCCTGTTCGCTTGAACTTATCAGCTGCAGAAACCATCAGGTATGACTAAAATTAAAAGACAACAGCTTAAGTTTATCAGGATTTAAGACATTTTGCACACATTCAAAACACTTGATCCCATTCCCACCCCTATCACAACTTGCAATCTCCTATAAATATTAAATAGTCGTCATAGCAAGGAATTGAACATCGTATCCATGATTTCCCTAAGAGTACAATAAGTGTATAGCTCAGTTGTATGAATGAACGAAATCCTGAAAAATAGAAGTTCTTCTCGACGTAGTAAGTAGCAAGCCACCGAGATGCCATGAAGCACAACACAGCTGCAACCACGGCTCTCTGAACAGCCGACGTGAGCAAGGACCCTTTGTCGACGGCGAGGAACCCGATGACGGCGACCGACGCGACCTGCAGCGCGACCTCGAGCGCCCTCATGGCCCTCAGCGCCGCGCTGCAGCTCGTGCACTGCGCCACGTGCGACCAGTACCTGCCCCCAAGAATTGCCGGCCGTTGAGTTACGAACGAATCTCACAATGAAGTGTCGCGTCTACGGTGTCTGTCTGGTGCTCCAGGGCGTCCCGGCCTACAACATGTACGGCATATTTACACGTGAAGGCATGATTTACACATGTACTGCATTTTTGTTCAAAGAAACAACATGCCATTTCATACCACGCACACGATATATTGTTAAAGTTTGGGACATGTACGGCCTCTATTTTCTACAGTACGGTTGGCAGCTGTGTAGTGTAGCTTCTCGAGCGAAGCAACATCAAGATGGCGACCATCGCGATAGAGGACGAGCTGTTCTGCTTCGCTCGACTGGGTACATGGGAACCTGGTGGTCGCCGACCCTACGGTCGCCCGTCTCCGTTTGGTGGCCTTCAACCCTGGCGCATCTGCGGCCATGGAGGGCTCGCGGCGAGGGACGCGCGGGGCCGGTGGTGAGGTGCCCGCGCTCGGAGGCGGCCGGAGGTGCGGTGGTCGCAGCAGCTGGCGGCGCCGGGCGGGAGCGCGGCTCCAGCAGCCTCGCCTTCGGGCCCCGCCATCACCTTCACGGCGACGCCGGGCGGGAGCGCGGCTCCTGCAGCCTCGCCTTCGGGCCCCGCCAACACCCTCACCGACCTGGAGAGGGAGCACAACCACCGGCGACGTCCCCGACGAAGCGGACGACACCGACGGCGATGCGGCCGACGAGTTCTCCGGGGGCGGTCCTCAGAGCTTCTCTCTGCGGTGGGTGCCTGCTGCCGTGCTGTGGGGCCCACCCCCATCGCTGTGGGACCCGCTGCTACAATGTTCGTGGACTCCTCCCTACCTCTCCTCTGTGGGAGCCACCAACGCCACGTGCAACACTAACGACTATTCTTTGCAGCTACTCGGCGTTGGCCCATCCACGTGGCCACACTTTTGGTACTGACCTCTGTATTTCAAGTTCCTGTTTTTCATCTGGATGGAAATACGGAAGTGGCAAAGCTTCTTCTGGCGTTCGGGTTGACCGCCGATTCTCATCGATGGCGGTCCTCATATTTAATATAAGGAGAAGCAGCGCCAGCCTCTTGAGTCACGTGAAGCTTATACTAGATCTCCGACCCAGACCGATCAGATAGTCAAGGAACGTACTATCAGAGTGCAACTCGACGATCATACTCCCAACTTGAGGATAGGTTTTTTTTTTTATATGAGGCCTTGTTTAGTTGCTTTCTAACTTTTAACTTTGGTACTATAAAAAAAAGATTCTCTATCATATTAAATTTGTGATACATGTATGGAGTACTAAATGTAGACGAAATCAAAAACTAATTGCACAGTTAGGTTGTACTTTACGAGACGAACGTTTTAAGCCTAATTAGTCAATGATTGAACAATTATTACCAAATACAAACGAAATACTACAGTGACTACAGTACCGCACGTTTTGATGAATCCAACGGCGCCAAATTCAACCAACTAAACAAAGCCAGACCTGAGTCATCCGGCTGACTCTTCTATAGTAGCTAGGGAGCTACTCCTACAGTTCCTATCGTTATAATATATGGCCACGTTTAGTTCATCTAAATTCTAGAATTTGATACTATACAAAAAGAAGATTCCTCGTCATATCAAATTTACGGTACATGTATGGAGTACTAAATGTTGATTTAAATCAAAAATCCAGAGTTTAGTTGATTAACTGAGCCTAATTAGTCAACGATTACAATTAGCAAATAAAAAATAAAACGCTACTGATGTACAACAATACAGTTAATTTAGGGCGGCTCCAAATCGCCGAACTAATATATGAAGTACGTGTTGTTGTAAAAAAAACAGAGGTACGGTTGGTCATATTTATAGTGTTAGGAAACATTTAGCAATATTTTTATTTTTAGCCCATCACGTTTTCCTTTTTTGAGAGACTAGCGCCCCGATGCTCAGATGAGTGCGCCTGCTGCCCGTCCATTTTCAATAGTTTTTAATAATAATAGCTTCGTGCTCCGCTTCACCTTATGCTCCGCGCTTGCTACCTGTCTATGGATGTAGCTTCGTGCTCCACGTCTGCTGCCACGCCCATGAATATAGCTTTATGCTCCACGCCTGCTGCCGCACCCGCTTCACTTCCCACGCGCACGTGGGGACCGCTGCGCCCGAGGGGGACCACCTTCGCCTGCGCCCTCTTGCCACACCTGTTCATGAAACACTTGCAACATAAAGCATTTGTTGCAACATACGTCCAAATCAGATGAAATATTACAACATACGCTTGCAACATATGTGTATGGGCACTGCAACATATGCAACATCTAGATAAAACACATGCAACATACTTGTAAAACAGATGAAACGCTTAAAACATACACTTACAACATACGTGTATAGCCAGTGCAACATATTCAACATCCAGATAAAACACTTATAACATACGTTTGAAATAGCTAAAACATTTGAAATATAGACTTGCAACATACGTGCATAGTCATTGCACATATGCAACACTAGATCTATTTTTGCAACATCCTTATAAAACATATGCAACATACATCTGAAACGTATGAAACATATGGTTGCAACTGTGCTCATCTACTTGTTGCACCCCAATGGACGCTCGTTGACGCGGAACTTCACCCCGGTACGGAGCTCAATGCCACAGTGCAAAGGTCGGACCTTGGCTGTGTAGCAGAACCGACCAATTTATAAGAGCACAAGTACAATGACAGCCCGTAAGCGGTCGCACTGTCATACTTGAGCCCATATAAACCCGGTAGTCCGTCGAGTACTACGACGGGTCTCAATTAACCATCAACATACAACCAAGATCGTACATGATTCAACATACATGTCACATGTTACATAAGGTTCACAAATACAGTTCATTCTTCAGAGTACGAATTAAGGTTATTACAAACCAAGTTCAGTAAATAGTAGCGGAAGCAAATTAAAGTTTGAAACTATCATCTGCCATCATAGTTCAAATACAGCGCCAACTTGTGATCACACTCCCACAAAAGCATATAAGAAGGATTAATAAAAGATGCCTGCCTAGGGCTCACACCTCGTCCACGACAGGACAGAAGCAGTTCTTGCAATAGCCGTGATAAATTATACCATCTGTAACAATGGGAATAAAAACCCTGAGTACAAGAAGGTACTCAGCTAGACTTACCCGTCATAAACCAAAAATAAGGTGACTCCAAGGATTATGCAAGGCTTTATAAGTGTAGGTAGCTTGACAATATTTTGCATAAAAAGTGACTAATTCAATTGTACAATTATACTTTGGTCATCAAGTTAATTATAGCTATTTATCTCTAGATTAGCAACTAACCTGTGCCAAACATGTAGTATATCATTTAGTAGCATACAATAGTAACCATAACCGGTGTAGTAATTTTATGTTCATCCGAACCATCATATTCCATAATACAGTTACTATGATGTTGGATCTAGCCAAGTTTCTCACTGTCCGGGAGATACGGCGATTCGAATCGATTCAACCAGCTGGGAATTTATTCGTAACACAAACCCAGGCAGACCAGATCAACGATCACCTTAGGTCATCTTTGGTACAACTCAAGTCCACATTTCATGGGTTTACCCAGCGCCGCATAATCAGGGACAACCAGCTGCCAGAATGTTCAGGACCGTCCTGCCTTTGGGCTCACGTCGTCTGGCTCCTGCACATTCTTACTACTATCCGGAGTGTGCACTCTAATAGAATGGGGTCCGGCCTGAGTTGAGCTATTCGGCTTCGTGGATCGAAACGAGTTATCCGGCCAGCTAAGTGATAGGCATGCGTTCAATCTTGTCAGAAGTACCAACAACGGTACGGTTCTTAACCGGCACAGACGGAATCACATGAGTCCACCCACACATAGACTCCGTTTGGCCTCCATTTACATTATCCCATGTTTTTTTTCCACGATAGCAAATATAGCCAACCGTGCTTCGATATCCACCTATATCTCATAGGTGACAGGAAATCATCCGGCTTCTACCGGTCTAAGCATGGCTAAGTATATATTCGATCCTGAACCTACATAGGGTTAAAGGTATATGTAACTGTACAAGGTAGTTCTATGCATCAAGTATTTTCAATCAACTCTTATAACCTAATGCATCAAACATAAATGACTCAAATGATATTTTGTAAAACATAGGAGACTTATAATGCTCCGGGGCTTGCCTTTGAGAAAAGAGGTTGGCCGATGATTTGGGCACTCAGAGAGATCTTCGAGAGTTTGCTCCTCTTCTCCTAGAAAGACGGCCTGAGGTGTCTCCTGCTGATCATCTTCCTCTTTTTCGTTGAACTCCAACAGAGTTATTTCATCGGACGATCCTATATGCATGAGCATAAAATAAGATATCACGAATGCCTATATGATGACATATATAATATTTTAATATGATATGATGTGATGAATACATCCTCCCAAGTGTTTTCAACAGCTTTGCATTAAAGTAATAACAAGTTGCATCTTATTTTAGTGAGTAGGTGCTTATCTCTTCTCTAATAACTAAACAAATACTTATGTAAAGAATTTTCTGAACTACAAGACAACAACCACTTGTTTAAACCATAACTGGAGTTATACACATCAAAATAATATGGTTGTGGATATTATGGAAATATTATAAAATTGCCTACAGTTTTCTTTTAATCATCTTAATGTTATTCAGCAGTTATATAGGTCAAACAAATCAATCATTCAGATCTGTCCAGAGAGCAAGCATTTCTAACAGCAGACTTCTAACAGCCATAATTCTTAAACCATAAGGCTTATGACTATGAAAATTTAACACAAGGTATATCAGTAAGTTATATACAAGTTTGTTATTAACCATCTTTACAGAAAAGATCATTATCATCGTGAAATCATCACCACAACAAAAACTATACATACAACCATCTAGTTAAATTATAAAGCGATAATTAACTAGTTGCATACAACCAATTACTTCTAAGCTTAACTAAAAAAATCAACAGACCATATGCATCACAAGAACCACAGAAAACATTATGGTTAAACATAACTAAATTATTTATATCTATTTATTAATTTTCTTAGATAATAAGGTAGCATACAAATAACCTTAATAGTCTACTGCATAAATTTCATGCCATTTGGATAAGTATAACTACCTATACAAAAATGACAAGTTACATAGGCTTATTTTAGCAAAAATAGTTTAGCATAATGAAAAGTGTCAAGCAACAGATTTAATATTTTTCTTACATTCCTCCAAACATAATAATACTATGTAAAAATTTTCATGATCATATGTTATGTATTTTTACCTCAATTAATTTCACTAGAAACTAGCAATTAATTCGGATTAAATAGGAAGACCATATTTTAAGTATTCTTACTATATGTTAAATATTTTTTCTAGATAGAGCATGTCAACACAAGACCAGCAAAATTGAAATCACTATTTTATTACTTTTCTAGCTCAAATTATGCAATTTACAAGATAGATACCATTTAAAAAGCATTTATCTAGCTACATTTTATTCTCCCAGGAAATACCAGAAACAGTGCATCTTATATTTTTATAAAATACTACACTTCATGAGAAATCCAATAAAATTTGGTTCTCCAAAATTGGACACTACTAGCTCTAAATATGAATTTTTGAAACATATATTCAAATCTAAAAAATAAATCAGAAATTCACGTCATCACACAGACTGATGGCTGGGGCCCGCGGTCAACGGGTATCCACTCGTCAGCGAGACCAAAACAGGGGACGGCGCTGACCGGTGAGAACTCGCCAACGGTGAGGTCTCCGGTGATAGCGTCTTCACCATTGCACTCATGTCACCCCCACACATCGACTGGTAGGCTTAGTTGGCTCAGTGGCTCGTCGGAGCAAGCTCGACGGTGACCATGGCGGACGGCGGAGGTCTGGCGGCGATATGCTAGCCATCTCTGGCTACGGCAC